AAGAATTATATTTTTGTTAGGGGTTAAAGACCTCTCTTTGCACACTTCTCCTTTCCCCTTTACTTCCACGCCTCTTTTGAGATGACAAACCATAGAATTGAAATATATTTCATTACACTAAAAGCTAAAATCCTTTCAGAGCTGTGTGGTAAGAGAGTTCTGAACCAGGAAGTGGGATTAATCATTCATTTCCCAGCTGAGAGAACAAGCAGACAGAGCTTCACCCTGACCAGCTACACTCAGGCAAAAATTCTTCCATCTCTCCCATTCCCTTCAAAAACATGCCAAACACACAGTTTACTAAAAAATGGTCTTTAGTATTCAAACTATTGTTTGAAGTAGTACATAATTCTTCAATATGGGTTGCCTTTCAGAACATAACACAAGGGAGTATGTTTATTGCCTACACAACTGCCACGCTCAATGGTTTTCATCTTATGTTTTAATCTTAATTAAGGACTTTGTGCATGTGTCTTGGCTTCCTGAAAATCCCTGCCCTCCCCTTCCCTCCGCCCCATGAGTACACGTAGAACACTCCCCAGGAAACTCCTGGGAAACATTTAAAGGAAAATGCAGTTGTAATTACAGCCCAGTCTCGCTTATAATACTTGCCTGTATATACCTCACATAACATATTAAAATTCTATATAGTTTTTCAAGTATTTATTTAAAATGCACATACATATAAAAATAAAATCTACAGCCATGCCTATAACCCTTTTCTTCAAAAAAACATCACTTTTCACTTGCTCACATACAGAATCACACCCACTGGTGTAACCCCGCTGTAGTCCAACACTGGCTTATGCCGAGAAATGAAAGCCAGGAACAACTACCAGGTTTAGAGATTCAGTTTTTACCATCACTCTCAGAGGCTGCTCTCTCACTCACAGGATCAGTGGAGCTGTGCCCAAGGTACGTCCTCCCATATGGAAGGACACATACCTGCCCCCACAGACTTGCAACAAGCCCTGCTGTATGGCATTATAGTGAAGATACCAAAGTATCCTGACAAGGTGCTTTAATTCTTTTAAAGCTCAAACTAGACATTTCATTTGTAGTATGTGATAGTATTCATTAAAATAAATGTTTAACAGCCAGTTATGAGCAGAGTGGTCATACTTTAAACATTTAATTTGCTACTGATACAGTTTTGCATTAGCGAGCCTGGAAAACAATTACAAATTACACAATTCAATTTTCCAAATGGATTATTCCATAACTAGACAGAAAGACTGTTTAAATTACTTCTGCTGTTTCAAGGCAAGATTAATACAACCGGATTAAAACTTAGAGCCCCTCGAGGAATCAGTATATTGCTGTCAGCATTATGCAATTAGCTGGTTTTGTATCGGAATATTAAGGATTCTTCCAGCACATTGCAAAGTCAAAAGTCACTTGGAGAAATAAGAATTTCTTCCTTCCTCAACATTATTTTGTTAAAAATATGGTAATTTGTGGCTGATTATTTACAATTAACAAGTGAAGACTAGACAGCTACCTGAAAGGCGATTCTCTGCATAGATTTTGTAGCCTGGAACTTAATTATTTTTTCTCCTTTGTGGGAACAAATGAATTAAGTGGGCAATTTGCTTTGCGTATGCAGATCTCCGTTTCATAAGCTAGAGATGACTGTTCTCAGACGACCTGTATTTTAGGACACTAACCTTTCCACTTTTTAAAAAATAGAACAAGATCAGAAGGTATTTAAAGGTCAATATTATACAAGACAAAGTACTTATTTCTTTTGTTGTTTCAAAATTCCAGTGGCAACGATGTCAAAATTCAGCCACTGGTGCGGGGCTGCAGAAGAGGACACGCACATCAGTACATTCCAACACAAAGAAAGCGGACCTCCCAATAAACATAAGCACCACTGAGACACCTCCGAAACGCTGGTTGTCACTTGGACTTCATGGGATAATCAGAGGCCTTGACTCGATAGAGGTGCCAAGGAGCTCTGAGCACAGTCTCGGAGCACAGCAACTCCGCTCCAGTGACTGGTACCACCACGGTGACACAGAACAAACGGACAGCCTCTTTCTACTAATAAATCCAAGTAACATTTGCACTTTAATTCATCACAGGAAAAGTAACAAAGTGAAACAATTTAACACTTCAGAGAAGGAGGCAGGTGCTATTGAAAAATTAGCTTCATTCATCATTTTTCTTTTTCTACCCTTTACAGTTTTATGATGGATTAAACCTTTCCCGAGATTGATGGGGTGACCAGGGGCTTCTCAGTTTTCTAGACTTGATGCTGCTTTCAGCAGTATTTGAGAATCACTTCAGAACCCCGGTAGGATGTTAACGACCATACTTCCCAAACACGGGTAATCTGTGAGTGAGGTTTTCCTCTCACAGTATCATCTATCAGACTGAACTGCATTTGTCCTAAGAGTCATTAGCACAAGCTTATGACACAGTGACACTTGACATGTTAACAGGAGTGGCTGGGCTTCTCATTTTTAGGATTTATTGTCAGAGAGAGTGGGAAGCAGCCCTCTGTCCAGGAGTGACAGAACTAGAATAGTCACAGAAAAGCCTCTACACACCATCAAGCTATTACTACAAGAGGATGCTCTTGCTGACCAAATGTGTACCAAGACAACAGCAATGGCTATCCCAGACCTCCGGATGATGTCTTGAGTACCAAAGTCCCGTTAATATTATATATCAAAACTGGGTGACAGGTGTTAGTTGAAGACTGCCATCTCTAGCTGTTTGTTTGTTCATGTTTTGTTTGTTTCTAAATTAATAATTAACTATGCTTTTTATAAGAATCCGTTCGACTACAGAGCAGTATAGAGAAGCAGTGACACGTTCTTTTTCAACACCTCATATTTAATATTGTTAGAAACTGCGTAGTTCACCACCTTAGAATTTCACACATTTACAAAGCTTATTTAAAAAATAAACTAATTTTTATCCACCTGTGCTCTTTATAAGTTAGTATATTTTAACCAGAAAATGCTATTTAATATTCATTAGCTTCCTTTTGGTAAGGTTCTTTAAAAATAAACAGGAGCAATCACTTGCATAGCTGGTGACCCTACGAGAGGACAGTCTCATTTACCATCAGTGTGACAATGGGGACCTGAAGCAGACAGAAGTTAAGGGAAGGGCTCAGCGTGATTGGAGCTGGCAGTCTAGATCGGCAGGTCTAAGACACCAAAAACACACTGAACTCCTCAAGCATATTCAGTTTAAGAGTCAGACCCCAAGACACTCCACCCACCCCCCTGAGAAGACTTAGGAAATAATCCGTCCGTTCACCCCCGCTGGAATCAGTGCTTTCAGGAGTATACGCTGCATTCCAATTTGGTTTACTCCCCCAAAAGGTAAACATTTCTCTGGCCACTTCCCCTCAAGACATTTGGGTTGAGGCCTTCATCCTACCTGAAATAACCCCCTAATCTGGCTACGTTCTGATTAAAAAACACACACACAAAATACGTGTGTAAGATCTTACTGTTATAACAATGTTTCTCAAAACTTCAACCAAGACAAGGGCTTGCCTTAACTATAATTATTACAGATCTGATTACATACAGTTACAGCTTTCTAAAGCAGAAAGTATGAATTCTGCAACTACTAAACAGTCAATTTCCAGTGACTGATCTGACCATTGTTTATTCCTGTCAAATAAACCACCAGAGAAAACCAGAAACTAAATCTATAGAAGAAGCAATAGTTCAAAATTAAGTAACTGTTAACTATAGAGTAAGCTTGACTTAAAACTGAAAATCCCTCCAAGCTAGTGATACTTTCCACAGTGTTTTAGTCTGCAGATCCAGACATAGGAAGCTGCTGTTAGGTTATATATGTGACAGATAAGTGCTGACCTACAGAACTTCTTGAAGGAAAAAAGTCCAGCCTCATTTAGATTCCTCTTGGATTTCATATCCACTACCTGATGTGAACCTCAAGTCAGTGTGTGCTGCTAAAATATTGCATTAATACAATGGAAGAAACAGAGATTTGCATCAATAATTGACAGAGACATGCTAATATAAACACAGCGTTTCACACAGAGCTGGAAATTGTCTTATCCCCCTGTGCAACACCCCCCACACATCAAATGCAAAAAAGGGCACTTCTCATTACTTTTTGAAGTTGCTTAATATAAATTTGAATGAACTATTTCCAGGCATGACTTACTACAAATAGCCACAGGTTTTATGACCAATCAATTACAAATTACATGGCACGTAGACAGACAAGTCTGAATTCAGATTCAGTATTCCCTCAAGATTTCCTCCTAAATATATGTCAAAGTGAGTAAGTGCAGATCAGCCCCAAGCTGAGCTATGCTCGCTGACGCCGAGGAATTTATGCACATAATTCCTAATCTTCTAATATATTAAGCTTTTGCCAACAATGATTATAAATTAAAGGGTTTCTTATTTTCATCTCCATGCCCAGGAGAATTACACATGTAAATTCTCAGATGAATATGAAATGTGCACATAACTCCAGAGAAGTGATTAGAGGGAAAAACTTCATTCTTTTAATACTGGTGAATTTAGCAAAGTTTTTCACACCATCATTGCAAGAAAAATTTGCATATTGTCCTTCATTTCTGTAGCTGTCTACTGTCTTCCCACAGATACAAAATCCTAGTAAGATTGGAACCTCTAAGTACCCAGCTTTTTCAATTCACATTACCTTGGATGGTTGTTACCATAATTATGAGGAGTAGTAGTCATTGCAAAGTATTTCAGATCTGATTTTAAAGAGCTGAGGACAGAAAATGATATTTTCTTTAAAAATAAAGCTGTTTTCCATTAGCTTAGCAAAAGGTTTGCTACAAAGCAGAAAACAGAACATTTACTCTGCCTCCACTTCACAGAATGAAGGAACATAGAATTGGGTTTATGATCTTGATAGTAAAAAAGTTCCAGTTTTCAGGCAAGTTTATACATATCAACTTCATATTTTAGCCTTGATTGTATGTTAGGAAAAAAAGTTTGAGAAACAACTGTATTACCAATTCTTACCTTGTGATAGCATCTAAAGTAAGCAGCTCGTTCATCTGAGAATTTCTCCAGCCTCTTTGGACCCTTGCTTGAAGCTTTTTTAAATACTAACCAGCATCTCTGGTAAATCTAGAAACAGAAGAGAGTAAACTTGGCATCTCTAATGACTTTAATATCACTAATATTTGCACAGATGTTAAATTCATAAATCGGCTGCTGCTCTGGAGCTACAGTTAATGACTCTCAGTAGCTTAGACAAAGCAAGAAATCAAGCTATTGGATAGTTACATCCTATTTCCTTTGAATTACAATACAATGTAATTGTAATTGTTTTGAAGATAGTACATGCTCGCATGAAGGGTGCTAGGAAGAAATATCTGTAATCATGCTTGCACATGCTGGGTTTTCTAGGAAACAGCTTTTTAAAACTGAAGTGACATACTTTTCCATGTGGATTTGTTATTGGTTCCAGTCTTGCAAGTTTAAGATGGACATGAAGAAAGCTTGAGTAGACAGGTAGGAATGGACCTTCCATCACAAAAGTATGAGACAGAAAACTGTAAATGTATATTCTATATATAAGGGTAAATGATGATACATAAGGGAGAAGAAACTGAACTACTGGGTAATGAAAAAGACTGATCATTTAGATGCAGAACCTAGAACCAATCTGACAGCTGCTGTTTTGCTTTCAATGTCCAGTTGAATTTAAATTCAAGTCACTTGGGGAAGACTGTACAGAGTGGTTGAAAACACACCTTTCCATCTAAAGCATTAAGCCACTTCATCCTCCAAATTTCTGACACCATGTCTTGCAATCTTCCCATCTATTCTTTAACTGTGGTGCACTTTCTACCAATCTCTTACATTCAAAACCACAGCTCTCATCTTAGATGACATACTGTCTGTGTAGAAGGACAGAATTATAAGCCTTGCCAACTGTTCACAGCCTACATTTAATCAGTAATTCCAAAGTAACACCTGGCAAGTTAGAAATAAAACAAAACTGCCACTAAAATTAGTGTGATTTCAAAGAAAAAAACCTGATCAGCCACTATCAAGTAGTTCACAGCTCTGGCAGAGCTCCAGCGCAGCACAAATTCACCAGAGTGGTCAGGGATGAGACCCATCAAAACATCTCACTGCCTACAGCTAAGCCAACACCCAACAAGTAACCAGCAGACAAGGCAACTCCATCCTTTGAACACTTGATGGCTTTCTAACCAAAGTATACAGCACAAGACACCATAAAAAGTAACTATAACTTTGGTTCTGCACCCAAAAATGACTGTTAGTTGACTGGCTGTGCTTCTTTCACCAACTCTGAGCTGTTTCTATAAGGCTGTTCAGCAAGCCACATTACTTCCCCACCAGCTTTGTTATTCTGCCTCACTCATGGGCACTCAAACTCCTGGCCCGCCTGGCTGCAGAAGCATTTAGCATATGGACAGGCTGTCCTGATGCCAGGCACCAGCTGAACCTATCAAGATTTTCTTCCAATTTTACAGTTTATTGGCCACTCAACCTGTTCTATTTAACTCAAGTATTTGAATTGAATTGTTCAAAAATTACTGCACACTGACCAAAATGACACCTTACCACACCAAAAAAAAAAAAAAGAAAAAACACCACACCAGAAAACAACACACACAACAACTTAGGTATGCACCCATTTATACTGGAATAGACTTTCCACATTTGCATTCTGAAAATCCTGTTTGCTGGGCCCAGAAAATTTCATGACACTTGACAAGAAAAACTCTCCAAAACCCCACCCAAAGAGATTGTCAAAAGTTTGAGCATTCAACCCTTTTGCTTTTCAAAAACCCTATAGTTATTGCTGTAGCAACCAGAAGCCATAGAAGAGAACAGAATCCTTTAGTACTGCATTTGCCATTATACAACACACACGAGGACAGCAACTACAACATGATGATGTCCTACTCAGACGCACCTCTCTGGGTCAACAAGCATCTCAAAGCTGTAGCTGCAATGGTCAGCTCAGCAGCACACAGAATTAGGGGCAGAACAGGAAAACAACATTCTAATACAAGTAAGAAAGTAAAGTTTTGCTCTACCTCCAGCTGGGCAGAGATCCAGTATGGTTATCACCCTTCCAAATGCCACTACAAGCGTAAGTACTATTAGCAATCAACTCCAGTCAACCGTGGTAGATGGCTATAAATTGGTGCTACTGGGATTTGTTACTGTAGTTCAACAATGACTAATCCAAGACTAATTTTTGGATTTTGATCAGAATCAAGGCACAGCTGGGGGTGAGAAAAAGAACCCACACCCCAAAACAACTGTTTCACGTACGTACCTCCAGGGATGCAAAAGTCAAATCAGCCTACAATATAAATGCTGTTCTTTGAGTTTTGGTTCCAATCCCATATTACAACAATTCTCTAACAAAAGGGTCCCAGAGTTGGAACAGATTATGCCAGTGCTTCAGGAAAACATGATCACGGCCCAAGTAACTACGCCTATAAAGAACAAACAACATTCATGATGCTAACTTGAGCAAACAGCAGGAAAGTCAGGTCATGAAGGTCCCTCCCCTGAACTTCCTCCTCCTTCTGTAAGAGCTTGTCAGCTCCCTTCTCTTAGAATCTCTCTGCCTAGAGATTTCCTACCACAACAGCAGTTTAAAGTAGAATAAAGTATTTTGTTTTCATTAGAGACAATAAACAATTTTTTGCTTGAATACAGAGTTTGGAATCCATTAATGTTAGTGATCAGATGGTTAACTCTTCTCCTCCTCTCTGCTGAGCTTATAAACAAACTCAAACAGAAGATGCATCCCCTCATTTGAAACATGCTTAGCACCTTCTAAAAGGAGATAAGGATGAGTACCCATCAAGAATGGGTACTATTATCGCAGTACCATTTCTATGCTCCCATGACACATCTCTGTCACAGGTGAACATCCAGCACCACCTTAACTGAACATAAACTACATGATACCCTAAACCTCTAGCAATAAATCGATAAAAAAGGGAGTTGGACTAGGTGACCCTTAAAGGTCCCTTCCAACCCAAACCATTCTATGATTCTATGAATAAGCAGTTTGACAGCATCTGCCTAGGAGCACTGAAAGCCCTTCAATGCACAGAAGAGATGATGTGCCCAAGACAGAGTTAATCATGCACCCTGTTATGAGCTACAGCGCAGAGCAAGTAATTAGGTCTTTGACGCCATCATGACCCAGCACATGCCTGAGACTTGTCAGTATTTCTTCAAGCTGAAGACAGCATGTGAACTGTTTACACTGTTACAGCTGTTTTGACAGCAGCAAGAACCAGCCCCAAATGCTCTTAGGTGCTTATTCCGTCATGAATACTTAGCTCACTTATCCCTCAAATCAACATTTTCACTACTACTCCATGAATAGGAATTAGTTGAAAGTACTGCTGTAATTACTTCCACTCCAAACACTTGGGCTGACAGTGATTAGATAATCCAAACAGCAAATCAGGATCTGATGTGCTGAGAGAGAACAGTAATAGCTGTCATTTGCATAACACCTAAAATGTACAAAGCTCTCCCCATGAGATCTTCTGAGAAAGCCTAACTCAACATTTAATTCGAGTATCAAAAATGAGCATCTACTTCCTGTGGTCTCTCCTGAAAATTTCAGCTTCTAACAGCCCATCAAGCAGGTACAACATAAAACTTGAGGGAAATAATGTGACTGTTTATGAAGTGGATCATCCAAAACCAATATGCAAGTCCAAGGTCATGTCAAAACAGTTCTATATTTGGCTCTAAGGATCAGCTGATATAAATCATTACCACGACTGAAGTCAAAGGAGTGACTTCAAAGGAATGATGCAATCTGAGTATCTGGATTCCTGCCTCTCAGTGCTATGCGCCTTCTGATGCTGGAAATGCACTGGGAAGCAAAGGAGCTATTAACCTCCTCTGGAACTGGTCAGCATCTGGTTGAGTAAAGTGGAAAAATTTCCTCTGACTATCCTGGGTTTCATGGTTCAGTTGTGGTTTCAGAATACTCTCATGCAGAGAGGGAAACTGAAACTGGAGGCTTGCTCTCCTACGTGATGACCCAAACCCCTGGACTGTCCTGGAAATGGGTGTGGGGAGGGAGACAGAGAGCTAGAATTTTGAGTGTCTAAAATGTCATTCTTCATACATGAAGCAGAAACTATTCCACACAAGAAAAAACACATTTGAATTTAGAAACTAAAATTTGCATTTCAGTCCCAAGCAAGTTCACCCCAGCCCTCAATACTTTTGTTCAGTGACTAATCTACAAAAGCATCTGGAAATTGCCAAATATTTAGGAATTGGAATGGGGAAGTCTATTTTTCATATCTGGGGCAGGGGGATTAAAAGTGGCTATTTTTTAAAACTAAGATACGTGGCTTCTACTGTACTATGGCAAAACAAGCCTATTTCACTTCAGGACCAAACAATCCCATCCCTTATTTGTTCGTTATTTAAGGGGATACAGAGAAGTCAGAAAGTAGCACAAAGTCGCATCCGGCAAATTTCCCCTCCGCAAACAAGAGGTGAGCCTTCAGGGAAAGCTGCCCTATTT